GCTGTCTGGATATTGTGTCATAATTAGGGTTACCTTGCGGGTTGTAATTAAGGTTAGTGTTAAGCTTCGGATTAGGGTCAGGATTAGGGTTAGGAATGCGATTAGGGATAGACTTAAAATTGATGTCATTTATTTTAATTTGTTTTATTACTGACATTTTCCTGATAAGTAGTCGTCGATCCTCTAATCGGAAACCTTAATAATTAAACCAGGTGCTTTTGAAGAAGTCCGCACGGCAGGATAAGGAAGATACACGATTCACAGAAACAGCTCATCCCTTTTCATCTCGGTGAACAAATGTACGGAAATTAGTGTAACTTAGCAACTGATACTCCTCATTATTACTTGGACGGCTTTTTAAGTCCTGTCAGAAAAAGATACCCTGTTTAACGTGTTCTCATGCATTTTCTTGTAAATATACGTCATTTTTTGTGCAAAACCTCTCATTTTTATGATTGGTCAGCTAAAGGTCACTCGTGCGCATCCCTTGGGACGATATTGTTGAACTTTGCCCGTGTGTTAGTTGCCGTTATTGTTGCTGGCTCTGTTGGTTACTTAATATGTAGAAATCTGGAAAAAAATGGCTTTCAAGTTCATGTTTACAGCACACAACAATCTACGAGTAAAACTGGTGAGGAGAGTAAGATCATAGTTGATATTAGCTAGGTTATCTAAGAACATATTAAACCTGGAGAATTTAGAACCTGGGTTGAAGTTGTAATAGCTTTGAAGCTTTTCGGGAAAGTGAGTATACCATCAATGTGTCCATTATCAGTTGAAAAATCAGATATATTGTGAGAGAATCTGAATTATTATCTCATATCAGACTGTTATAACCCTACGTATATAGCTTCTTCCTCATGGTGCATTACAATATCTCGAAATCATAAGCACACTGCCTTCGGTAAATTTATTTTTACTGTTTAAGTGACTGCAAACTGAGTCATTTGAGGTGATAGGCTGAATACATCTAAACGCTTTCCTGGAGATTAGGATGTATTCATTATTTTCGACTAGGAGACGATATTTTTACCAAGGAAGTTCTCAGGATTTTCACTTTTACTTTGAAATATAAAGATAATGTTACTTTGCTCACTAAGGTAGTAGCTACAGGGGACTACCTTCAGCAGAAACTATTTACGAGGTAGTTACGTAACTGCAGGTAATGCATCAAAGAAGTAAGCAGCTTATGTTGATTGTGTCTAAATATATTTAACGTTGTTTAACTGGTCTATAAATATCATGATAAATATATATATCCTGATTAGAGCAAGAAGAACATGACAAGCAGGATAAAGTGGCGTCATTAAAGTTTATTGGTTGTAATTACGTGCGTAAAGGCGTAAGTTGTTTAATATCCATAAAGTAGATATGTAAATACTGCAGTTGTTGAACATAAAAGTGATTAATATTAGATAATATCACACGACTCAACGGCATATTGGAAATAAATAAAATTGTTTCTTAGCTCATGCCAAGTGAACAGTCCATTTGATGATGTCACTGCATATTAACAGATTAATCAAGTAGCTATCGACCCTAGGTTACTACATTTACTTACACTACATACTTGGCGTTTAGCAGCATACAGAATTGCAACCGGCTAGATAAGGTAACCCCAGTGTATCGAACAGTACAGAATTATTATTTAACCTGCTAAATCCTACCTACTCTTCACAGTGTGCTATTGCATAGTGAATCTTCATCCCAGTAACTAAGCCTAACATGCACTAATCTGAATTCACATATTATGAAAGCACATAGTATGGCGATGCATTGGAGAAGTCCAGAAGAAGTAGGAATTGAGAGTATATTAAACATTTCATTAATTTACAAAAGAAAATTCCGATGAAGGGTATTAGCGTTAGTTTGGCCCATTGACATTTCCGCTGATTTCATATTCGACAACCACCATACATCTAAAGCAATAAGGCACATGTAAAGACTGGTACAACATGAAGTTATGAAAGGTAATTTTGCATATCAGTATACAGTGCGAATACATTGATTCTATACATACTAAGTAAAATCCTCATACAAACCAAAGTGCTTGTAGTACACAGCTGACTTTGATATTGACGCCGTGTGCATAAATATACCTCATATGTTTTCCAGTATTAGAGGATTATACGCAAATTTTAAGACAAATCCATACTTTTAAGGTGTTCTCTCAGCGGTTAGGACTCTTGCCGACCATGTACATGGTCCGAGGTTCGATCCTCTGCAGACGCACACCCGATATCTATGCTCGGTCAGTGAAATTTGGGCTACCGATATCACATGCTGAAAATTCCATAAATGTACCAAAAAATACGGTGTGGAATCAAGCTGTAATCAAAAATAAAGACTATTTGCAGATCGACTTCACACTAAGTACGTTTACATTAAAGGAATTGTTGCAGATGTGCAACTCAGAAATTATTCTACAATCTCAGTAATATCTAGTGAACATGGTTTGTGAATCCTACGGAAACTACATTCTCACATTTAGGAAACTATTGCCATCAAATATAAGCTGGACATGCCTCAACTCTAAACAACTATGCATAGTCCTAATAGAATAGAGACACAACTAAAATATTGTAAGATACACAGACCTGTTGTGTTGATGTGTATAACAATGCCATATTATGCGACCTAGACATTCAATCGTGATTCTGCATCTGTACTGCTTCGCGATAAAGGAAGTTTCAGGAGAAATTAATCTCCAATATGGTGATCAAAAGTATTGCAGCAATAAGTATACAGTGTCAATGGGAACGGTATAGCAGACAGTAGATTGATAATAATAGAGCGGATTAGTTTCAAATCTCATAGTCAACACAAACCACATGTATAATGATACTATACACTGAATTAATGCACTAAGTGAAACAGTGAGGAAAATTAAAGCTAAGCAAACCGTGGCTCAATATTAATAAAGTGAAGATATTTTTTATAGATTGATTCCACACCATCCATATTACACTGCACCAATCTCAGAGCAAATACAGATTGAATCCACTCAGAGATAACCTTTCAGCTTACGATAATTCCTGTCCAAACACATATGAAGAAAGACACATTTAAACGATAACTTCTGTTCCCACAGAAGGTTCTGTTAGCGCTTATAGGTAACTTTCATGTACCGATAGCATTCTTCTGTCAAACAGTACTGTTCCTCACACAGAAACAGCTACATTGATATCCTAAGACTTGAAGTCTTCATTGAATTATACTATACCGAAAGGTGCAGCTTTTACACATGTTAAATTATTTGTATAGATTACATCACCCTAAAGCTATCGTATCTTGCTCATTATAGTGATATTTTTACACAGTCCGCCAGGAACACTAATCATTACAACCAATTTGCTAAGACTGTGTCGCAGTCAGATAATATTTTGTTTGCTTGTACAATAATCGAAAAATTTTAACTTTTGAAAAAGTGCTAATTTATGGGACTTCGAGACTGTAATTCGTAAAATAACTGATAGTTCCAGTAAAAACGACATACACTTCTTGCAAAGTTGCGCATTTATGCAAAAAATAAATTATTATTATGAATTTGTGGAGGTTTGAGTTGTTTTGTCTGTTAATAATCTTGAAAGGATTCAGCGTCCGACTAGTGACTGATACCAGACGGATGTCTGACAATGGCACTGTTCGGAGCAATTGCTCATTGAGACGTATCGTTTTCGGTAAATATTTATAGAACCAGAGGTATGTCCTACTTTCTGCTCTCCCAATGTAACTACTGTCGCAGACGAGCGTAATTTTATATACACATTTAGAGTTAATATGGAAGGGTATCTATCAGCCTTCAAAGAGTTCGTTGTTAAATAAACGGAAACCAATTTTCACCACAGGTTAAGTTCTGTCTAGAGAGATTTTCAGTCTTCCGTTGATTCTTCCTGCAATGCTATCACCTGTAAACTCCAGTTAGATGCAGATAGGTTTCTTATTTACTGTGGCTTCCTTCGTCTTCAGATTTTCAGATCTTCCATACATTTTAATGAATTTCAAAGGGTGACCAATATTTTCAAAATTTTTCCATTATATAGGAGTTGTTCTTCCAGTACAAGTGAGGCATATCCTTCTGGCTCTGTAGAACGAAGTTCATGCTCATTTATGGCTGATTGGAAAAAACGACTGAAATTTAAGTATAGTCCATTCCACGTGGATTTTCGGTGAATGGTTCTTTAGTAGACTTCTGTCTTTCAAGCGTTGCATGGCAATACCGAGGAAATGAAACTTTCCATGAATTTCATGTGCCCTTGTGAAGTTAATATTCTCATTTGCATCATTGCAAAGTTGAATTCGAAGAGAAGCATGATTTTTAATTATCACGTAAATGGTGTAGTCAACGTGTCAATAATCGGAAGTTGACTCGTTGGTCGTTCTTTTCAGCTTTATTATTTCAAGATTCGACGTAAAGACTTCAACTAGTACGTGGCTTGGTAGAATACCCATAGCTACACCATCTGTTCGATGATTAAGGTCGTTATCGCATGAATTCCAACCCATGAATTTGTCCATATAATATGGCAGCGATTCGATTTGCCCCCAGTCATTATAGGAATTTAAACGACTTCTAATAATGTGCACCACACATGTGCAATTTCAAACTGGTAATAATGTCTGTAGTCAACTATAAACGTGCGTGAGTCAAAACTTCATTCCACAGAGCCGGAAGAACATGCTCCACAAATAGCTGGAGAACAAATAAATACTGAGGGGACTCAGGCAATATGATTATGAGCAATAGTTTATGCTCGAAACGTTATCAGTTAGTATTACCGTACAACACTGTGTGATTTATCAAAATAAAATTTTATCCATGATGGAGATCAGGCAACAAAACCACTAGGAAAACAATAGGTCTATAGAAGCTGATACAAGTAAGTCTCTTATTGAATGTTCTGCACCTTTGCCTCACAATCAAGAGGCGAGCACAAAGAAATCAAATTGGTTTATACTAGCTCGTAAAAGCAATATTGGATATCGGATACCTATAAAGCCGCAGGTTTTGATATATGCGTAACACTTAGAATGGCCTTGGTTAATTATGGGAGTTCTGGTGAAGACTCAAGCGGTAAGAATATTATGTGAATAATATAATAGCCTAACAGATGACGGTGAAAAGTCCATCGAAGACGGTGATGGCAGCAAAGTAACTGAAAGCAATGTATCTAAAGATCGAGTAGAGCCTGAATTTAAAATGCGAGTCCCTAAAAGTGCCAAAATACCCAACCTCGTTCCTAATATCCCTATCGTTAAAACAAAGGAAGGTAAAATATTCTTGTCTGTCCCGGACTTGGAAGCAGTAAGTATATATCCACGAAATGCATATATGTGACAATTTAGCTGGATTCCTCGGATGACAGTGAAGAGGATGGTCAATCAGTTAAAACTAATAAGGTTCGTATGATTGGTGTGTGTTTTGGTTTAGTTTAAAGCTAAATGGTAACTGGAGTTTTATTTTTTAAGTATGCTGGTATAGATTACGATTATTATTGTTTTACTTTACAAGCTAATGCCCCTGGTGAAGTGGAAGATTGATAATTTAGGCGAATAGACGGATGTATGACTTTGGTAGTCTTTAGTGGTGGTGTGCCACTGAAAACCCAAATAAATTAGTCAGTACTCAATGATTTCATATGAAAATAATGAGAGGTCCACAGAGCATATATAAACCACGTTTATTTGGTTTAACTCCAGTGAATTTCTATTGTCTATGTTGTAATTGAAGGTCATGCTCGTAGGTTATGTGAAAGGTTGTGTAGAATACAATAAATAACGAAAAGCCGTGTTAACATCATCTTGATGTCCTCTATCGACGAGATGAGCTGCATATCACTATTCGGTCATTTGCCTAATGGAGATGGGTTGTTGTTCAGAAATTCGATGGTGAACTTGCTTAGTCGTGCGCCCAATATAACTAATTCTACACATGAAGTGCACGTGTAAATACACACGGAAGAGGTGAAATTAGTTATTTTTTATTTAATAAACTAAGGACTAGTTGGCTGGTGAATAAACAGCTCAACTTAGCTGCATTAAAAGTCCTTTCTAAGGTTCTTTCTAGACGTCAGGCAATTGCAGTCTTAGGAGCCCTGATGTTTTCTGGACTTAAGACACCCCAGACTTTGCGCTTGCCAATTCCATATATTAGCTCGAAAATTCCACCGGATTTCCCTTTCAGCTTAGTAGGTCACGAATATTGCCCAGTCGGAAAATGTACACAGTGTAGGGAAAGCGTCGGTAGAATGGGACGCTTTGACCTTTTGAGATATGTACACAAGTTGGGTGAAACGCAATATAAAACACTCACTCTCTCCATATTCACCCCTTTTTTCCATTGTTTCCAAAAATTCACTACCTACTTCCCATTTCTCCCATGTTACTACAGAAAGTTGCCCATTTCATGTTACCTATGTCATTTACAAAAATACCGTACTGTTTCCCACTTTACCCAACTTTGAACGGGGTCTTACCCACGTCTTGTCCACTACCCATGTTCACGAAAAAATTCCCCGACCAGGCTGCTGAGTTTTTCGTTGAGTGTTTTATCCGAACAAATCACGTGCGTGGTGAACTAAACATCTAAGAAGCATGTTTCATTTTCATTGTGAAGGTACTTAGTTTTTGTTAGTTACCAGTAATTTTTGCTCATATATTTGGCGTTTAAATACAATTAAAAACGACTTGCGGATGGGAGTCCAATTGTGATCAAGAAGTATTCAAAAGAACAGTGTATTCAGTTAACACTTCCAAATACGTTTCAGGTCATATATATATATATATATTTATTTATTGTAGTCATATTTTCATATAGCTAGCTATTTTGTAGTTCTGTTTCTCGGTAAAAGCTTCACTGTCTTCGCTAGAAATAGCGTGACTTACCATATTTCATTGGTAAGCATAAGAATGCTGCTTGTATCGCTTGGTGCTGAAATGAGAGAGTTAAATCCTAAAATCTCCAGTTGTACCTCGCTGGTCTAAGCGCTTGACTTCTAATCACTGGTCATGGGTTTGAGCACTGATCCAACTACCGAAGTTTGGGAAGCGAGGTAGTATCATCAGTCGTCAGCAAATAGGTGTGGCTGACTGCCAAATGCATGGAAATGCAAGAGGGTGTTGAGTAATATAACACTAGAATATTCAGGCAGTAAATAGCTCATTGAAGAGTTGAAATGCTACGTTAGTTATGCAGATGAGGTTCTTGGGGTTTTGGTAGTGCTCTGTTGTGCTTAGTATCAGTATTGCAAAACTAGTCAGTGATTAATAGTCAATTCACCATGTGTTAGGATGTTTTGTACTAGAGACTGTCTAGTTTGCTGCAAAAAGCAAATCTCCCAGATATAGTTGTTTTATCAGGTGACCTTAATGTCCAGGTGGGGAAGGTATACCAGACTGAGAAGTATATAGCGAAACGAGCATCCGTGGTTTACAGCTAGACTCCTCCTGAAGAAAACTGACGTAATATACAGTTAGTTATGGACAGCTTCGAAGGCTGCTAATAACATAAAACCAAAAGTTAGTGAGGGCCACTGGATTTCTACTACCTCATCTAAACTGATTAAGGCAAAAAGACTGATTCCGGCGAGCTCCGAATATGATGAGAAGCGAAACCTATTCAAACCAAAACTGGCAAGAAGTCTTTGTCGCGACCGTGAATAGTGGTGGGCAACAAAAGCGAAAGAGATGGAGAAAGCATCAGCGATAGGTAACACCAGAGAACTATTTAGACTTATTAGGGAAACAGATGGCAAAAGGCAAATAACAAGTGCAACAATCTCCGAGAAAAATGACACCATAATCAGCCCCCAGGGTAGGCGACTGGAACTTTGGAAAAATCGCTTTGAGGAGCAATTTAATTGGCCTACAGCCACGCTCGACTTACCCAGCATCCCACACCTCCCTTAAGGGGATATAAATACGGGTCCTCCATCCCTAATTTGGGTTACAAAAGCTGTCACTAGTCTGAAACGAGGCAAAGCTGCGGCACCTGATGGAATGATTCCAGAGGTAATTAATGATGGCGGAGACGGTTTACTTTCTGCGTTAACTAAGTTACTAGGCAGCGTCTGGGAATCAGAGTAAGTCCCGTCGGGTTGGTGTATGTCATTGGTTATCCCCATATACAAGAAAGGACAGAAGACTTCCTGTGATAATCACAGGGGATTAGCTTGACTAGTAAAGTACCTAAAGTTCTAGGCTTAATAATCATGCATAGACTAAACAGTGTACGGTTGGCACAAACAGGAGAAAATCAGACAGGCTTTAGACCAGGAAGAGAGTGTGTTGATCATATCTTCACCCTTCGACAGATTCTGTAACATAGGCATACTTACCGGCATTCAACAATCGTTATATTTCTTGACCTAAAGGCGGAAGTCGATTCCGTCGACCGAGAGGTACTATGACGATGTTTGTCTTTGAAGGGAATGCCGAGAAAATACATCGCACTGATCAATGCGCTATTCTAGAACTAATGCAGACAGGTGAGGGCTTACGGGAGTGGTCATCTGAAGTGGTGACAACTAGTGGTGTCAGTCAGGGATGTCCACTGTCTCCATTTCTGTTTAATTTAATCATAGTTGTACTAATGAACTTAGCCCTAGCTGACTTGTTACCGGGGAATAATCTCGTTGACTTAGAATATACTTATGATATAGTCCTTTTAAGTGAAAACACTGACAAAATAGAGCAGAGTCTTCTGAACGCCTTGAGCAGCAATCTTCGAATGCCTGGCATGCGTTTCGCTCCCGTTAAATGTAAGATGATGCTACAGGACTGGACTACATCGACTCCTAGTGTAAAGATAAGGAGTAAAGTGGTAAGGCGTGTTGACCACTTCACTTATCTAGGAAGTTGCATCAGCCATAGCGAGTTGATAGCTGACGAAATCTCAGCACGGATACAGAAGGGTCGTTTGGCATATATCAACTTACTCCACCTCTGACGTAGACATGATATCTGGCTGTCGACCAAAGGGCGTGTGTACTGCTCAGCAGTTCTCTCTATCCTCTTCCATAGCTGTGGGACATGGCCATTGGAAGTGGCAGATGTGAAAAAGACTAACTATCTTTGATCATAGATGTCTGCGTTCTATCTCCCGTTTTAAGTGGTATAATAAGGTGAGCAATATTGAGGTTAGGCACCGGTTGAGTGCTAGGTAAGGAGAGAAAATCAACCTAGGAGGTTGTGAAGTTACACCGATTGAGATGGCTAGGACATGTGTTACGCATGCATGCCTAGCCATCGCCTTCCTCGACAATGGGCAATGTTAGCTGGCATAGGGTCAGGTTGTAAAAGAGCTAGTGACAATCAAACTAAAACTTGGAATCAGTCAATGAAATCCATAACAGTTAGTTTAAGCCAGCCACGTCGGGAGGTGTAGACTTCCTGGTTGGGGTCCTCGGGATGATAAAAACCAATGGCTTGAGACAATCGGTGATATGGTTCAAAATCACTCTCAGTGGCGTAGATGCATCCACTCTTTGTGATTTATAATATCCAATAAAATTCTATTTTTCTTCCATATTATTCTTTTTGCCTCACATTTATGTTTTGCGAGTTGATCACGGACTGATATCAGTTAGAGAACCATTGAAAACTAGGGAGTACTGAACAGCTGCTGTTTCATCCTAGTTTTTTGGGAATCATCGGCAGTACGCCTCACATTTATGTTTGTTATCTCTATTTTGAATTTATTCTTACCGTCTTGCTTTATGTGCTACATGGACGGGGTGTGGCAACTTAAACTGTTGGATATCTGACCAAAGTTCTACGTTAAAACCAGTCAGTCAGTCAGTTACGTTGTTTTGTAGTTTTGCCAGTCTACCTAATAGCGCTCGTGTCTGTACAGGACTTATGCTTATTCTATCTTGCACATGCTCAAGTGCTACAAGTGAAAGAAGTGTCTTTCATATCAGTTGACTGTAGTATGCGCCTATAATTTATGATTGACTACCAATAATAATGACGTCCTCAAAAACCTTATAAAATACATCTCACTTTAAAAGATTGTTCAGTTAAGTATTGTATGAAGAATCAACTGCTGTGTTCAAGGAGTTTTTATCATATAATCTGAGATCAAGTTTAGAATAGTAATTTCCAGCTACTTGGTTGGCATTCAGTTGGTAATATATCTCCACTTTTTTCCGCTGTCTCTATACTATGATCAACCCATATCATAAGGCATGGTGTTCGAAACGAGACTCTGAAGTGTAATTATGGTTTTATTTATTAAATCACATTATCAGCACTAAGAGATGCCTAGGATGCTTCCCGGGCGCCCAGATTAAAGCGGATGGTTGTCTTTGATTATGGCTTGAGGCCTGATCCCCAAGACAGTGGAGCAGTGTCAGTTGCTGTATTCCTGTAGTTGCCAGTAATCAAAACAGGTCCATACGCCATTCCATCCTTTCAGATTCTGGAGCCGATGTACACCATAGGTTTGGAATCACTTTTCCAGCCCTTTTAATTAGGTAAACCTGCATATCCACCAATCCGATTGTTAGCGCCAGACTTTCGAATTCGCCCTTTCATTAGTGTGGGAAACATCTACCTTTGACTCTGTACCCAGGCTTCTTTTGTTAAACAAGCTTGCTGCGACACAAGCAGATGGCTGGACTAATAAGTGGTTGCATTCTTACTTTTCTGTTAGGAAGCAGTACATTGTTTACAATGGAAAACACTTCACTGCTTCACTTGCTGTAGTGGATGTTCCTCTGGGTTCTGTCCTTCCTTTTCTGTTTTCTTTCATCCTACATGACTTGCCCCATTCTGACGAAGCCAATTGCGTTAAGTATGCTGATAATCTGACTGTTTCTATGGGGGTGGTTACTTCCCAATCAGATTGTTCCAAAATGAATAACTTTTTATTGGAAATCAGTCAGTGGTTTTAAGCTTAATCCCTCCAAATGTCAGGCTGTTAATTTCACTTTCAGACGCAAGCGTGACTTACATGAACTGGCTGGTTCGCATGGTTCCGATATCATAGATGGCACAGAAGTTGAAACTAAATCAAATGTTAAATATCTTCGACTATGCTTTGCTTCTGATCTTTCCTGATCTTTACACATCCTGTTAGTGTCTAGAAAGATATTTCATCTGACTTTCTACATTAGGAAGTTAAGACAGTGTGGTATCACTCAGTATCTACTTTGACAATTTGTTAATTTTTGTATTCTGCCTAGACTTCTTTACTGCTTCCCCTTAGTCTTTCCCGAGCTGTTAAAGGAAGACTTTCTTATACTTCGAAGGGCATTAAAAACCGTCAGTTGGGTGAGTGGTGTGTTGCTAAACCAACTCATTAATACTATCGTAAATAGACATGGACTTCTAAAAGAAATTGGCAAATATTATCTTGTAAGATCCTGAGCATCCTCACTATACTAAGTTCTGCTTGCACCTCACCGGGTGGAACTAGAAGTAGTTATAGAAGACTGAATGCTGGGTCGATTAAATATAAAAACTCAACTGTACCATATTTGGCATACATTTTATGTGATGAGAAAAGTGTAAGGTAGGACACTACCAACTTACTGTGAAACAATAAGTAAACGACCGTCTTCTTACTTTTTTTTCATTATTATATTATTCTTGCTAATTTCACTAAATCTAATTTTATATTCATGCTCATATTGAACAATATTATCAATGTCAATGTATGGGAAAGTTCCAGAACAATTTCTGGTTAGGGGTTGAATTAATAAAAATTACAATTAGGAATTAGAATGCCATAATAAACAGGGGGATGGGTGAAACTAAAACAAGTAGCATAATAACTAAGAAAATTGACATTGTGCAATTGGGGTTAGAAATGTAAAAAATAACAAAATATACAGGATGTTTGGATAAGAAACTAGTGTGATGAATAATTGTTTATGCAATCAGGGATTAAATATGTAGAGATAATAAAATGACAAAATAAACAGGAAGTGTGGATATGAAAATATGGTAGTGTAGACAGGGATTAAGAAAACTTAAAATAACATGAATAAACAGGAAGTTTAGATAAGAAAGGCGATGGGATGGTCATTATTAAAAAATTTACCTGTTTACGATGGCCATGGCAGGGACAGGGGTTGAATGTATTTCTTTTGGATACAAAGGGTGGGTTTGAGTTTTTGGATAGCTAACGCCTCAGCTATGCCTAAATGTCTTGATTTCACTCCCTTTGATAGGTTTGGTTGAATCTTGTATATTACTTTGAAGGACTTTTCGAAAGGCGCTGAATGTCCTGAGTTGACCAGATGTTCTGTCACTGAACTGTTTACCCGTTTTTGCTCTCCTTTTACCAGCCAGGCTGGGTAGTGTTCACGAGCGCGTTTTCCAAGTTGGCGCATGGTACGGCCGATGTACTCAGCTCCACAAGAGCAAGTGAACTGGTATATGCATGTTGAGGTGGCCCAATGCGACAGCTTGTCTTTCGCGTTCTGGTTGAATAGTTTCTTGCAGGAAAACGTCAGTCGTAGGCTTGCGGCGAAGTATGTTTTCCTCAGCGATTTGGAGAGGCGTTTGCGAAGGATTTCTGCTTCGATATCACCTTTGAATTCTAGATTGAGCAGAAGTATTTTCTTTGGGACGGATTGGACTTGTTCTGAAGTCCCAAAGAAAATACTTCTGCTCAATCTAGAATTCAAAGGTGATATCGAAGCAGAAATCCTTCGCAAACGCCTCTCCAAATCGCTGAGGAAAACATACTTCGCCGCAAGCCTACGACTGACGTTTTCCTGCAAGAAACTATTCAACCAGAACGCGAAAGACAAGCTGTCGCATTGGGCCACCTCAACATGCATATACCAGTTCACTTGCTCTTGTGGAGCTGAGTACATCGGCCGTACCATGCGCCAACTTGGAAAACGCGCTCGTGAACACTACCCAGCCTGGCTGGTAAAAGGAGAGCAAAAACGGGTAAACAGTTCAGTGACAGAACATCTGGTCAACTCAGGACATTCAGCGCCTTTCGAAAAGTCCTTCAAAGTAATATACAAGATTCAACCAAACCTATCAAAGGGAGTGAAATCAAGACATTTAGGCATAGCTGAGGCGTTAGCTATCCAAAAACTCAAACCCACCCTTTGTATCCAAAAGAAATACATTCAACCCCTGTCCCTGCCATGGCCATCGTAAACAGGTAAATTTTTTAATAATGACCATCCCATCGCCTTTCTTATCTAAACTTCCTGTTTATTCATGTTATTTTAAGTTTTCTTAATCCCTGTCTACACTACCATATTTTCATATCCACACTTCCTGTTTATTTTGTCATTTTATTATCTCTACATATTTAATCCCTGATTGCATAAACAATTATTCATCACACTAGTTTCTTATCCAAACATCCTGTATATTTTGTTATTTTTTACATCTCTAACCCCAATTGCACAATGTCAATTTTCTTAGTTATTATGCTACTTTGTTTTAGTTTTACCCATCCCCCTGTTTATTATGGCATTCTAATTCCCAATTGTAATTTTTATTAAAACAATTATTCATCACACTAGTTTCTTATCCAAACATCCTGTATATTTTGTTATTTTTTACATTTCTAACCCCAATTGCACAATGTCAATTTTCTTAGTTATTATGCTACTTGTTTTAGTTTCACCCATCCCCCTGTTTATTATGGCATTCCAATGTCAATGTCCCATTCTAAATAATACTAATGTAATAAGATAATTAGATGCAATACTGTACTGCACGCTGACGATCCCATATATGTACCAAAATACTGTTTTTAATAAAGCAGTTATTATTATTATTAACCCTGCCACGTGAGGGCAGTGGACTGGATTTACCTGGCCGCATGAAAGCATTTCGAGAGGTAACCCTGAGTCTGTTCACTATCGGTCATACCAGGTCGCTTATGGGGTGTGATCATGAAGTGTTGGATACAATGTCGATATGTTATTGTCAGTTAATTTTTGCCGTAAGTTTTACAGACGAAAGTTAGCGATATTTGCTAAGCCGTTTCTATGCGGTGAAAATGTTGTTATAGTCGTCATAAGTATTCTGCTTTTCTTGTGGATCTCAATATACTGGATTCGGTCTTTTTTAAACTAAAAAAATGTTAGCAAATCATGATGTTGTATGGTAATGTTGTGGTATCCAAAGAATAATCCGTAAGTTTTTGTTTGTGCCACAAAGTAGAAACGGAAGTAAAATAAAGTCGGAGATAGGTATGGACAGCTTAGTTAAGCCATAGAAAGAAGTCTTAAAGTTACTGTGAACTGTGTGCAGAAGCATAATGAGTTTCTATGCGTTGGTTTTCAGCTGAACATTAGAAATTGGTTGGTAAGGCTTTTAGCCTCACCGAACTTTTACTCTTGTTGGTGATATTCATCAAAGTATGTTAATGGCTGTGTAAAGACAGGATCTTATGATGAACAATAATAATAATAATAATAATGTGACTCTGCGATCCAGTACAAATTTGTTCGACCTAATGTGAGAGCTTACAATACATGTTTCGTAAGACTAAAGTAAGTGAAGTGGGGCACTTGGACATAAGTTCACCAGCTGTTTCCAATAATGAGGTTCCATAGCTAATTTAGGGTGCGAATTTCCAAGTTTATCAATATTTCATTAATTACCTTTTCCTGTTTTCTTACTTAATTGTTTCAACCACATTTTGAACATTTTACGGTTAAAACAGTTTTGGAAGACAAAACATCCTGAATCACATGTGACGTTTCAGCTTAACATTTTTTCGTGATAAACTAGTTTCTTTGATTGGACACTAGGTAATAACTGGTGTTGTGCGTCTAGCCCTTTCTTTGGTGCTGACTGAATTCTATCAGTCACCTGGCTGATTGGCGAGTGCTAACAAGCATGAAACCTAAGTCCATGGCTTCCTATCGATTGCCTCCAATCATCTAATTCAGAGTTCATTGTGACGGCGACCCATCTAGCATGGTGGCCACCATTGCAAACTTGACTGTTAGAATTCAGCCCGCACCAAGCAAAAGACTAGACAAATTACACTAGTTACTACCTAGTGTCCAATTAGAGTATCCAATACAGTCCTACAGGAGGTCAATGGTGATCCTGAATAGCTCAGTGGTAACGTCCTGATTGCAGCACTGAATGACACGGAAAGAAAAGACACAAGTTCCTTCAAGTGATTGCAGATACGCCGTGATGGCGAGTGCCAACAAGTACGAAACGTAGGTCCTAAGCTTCATCCCCATCTCCTTCAACCATCTAATAAACTTGTTTTTTAACTGGTTCGTTCAAAATGTCCATTATACTTAGTGTGGATAGATATTGGCAATCATAATTTTTGTAATCCATATTGTTTTCTCTGCTTATATATATATATATTTTTATTCAACCTTTAGTTGCGCAGAAATTACAAATCTGAAAAAGACAAAGTTAACCTCCTCTCAATTCTCCCACCTACACGTGCCCTGATTATTCGAGAAGGAAACAAACCAATGATACCGCATCAATTAATCATGTCTAGAAAAATTACAAATCAGTCTAACAAAGAAGCATCTACTGTTAAAAGTAAAGGCGAAAATGATGAAAAGAAATCACATTCAACTCTTTCTGATGCTGCTGATGCTGATGAAATCTGGGATTCAGATGCTTTCGATAAACAACATGACTCTGATACAGAATTTTCAGAGCTAAACGAAGATGCCGAAGAATCCAGCTTCTTTTCATTTTATACACCTGCACCTGAAAATCACGAAGCTGTTGCTTCAGCGCGAGCAGCAGCCATATCAGCATTAAGAACAGGTCGAAGAAAAGCAGAATTATCCAGTGGTAAAACTCCTGCAAAGAATGCTGAAAATGATCATAGTCGTAATAATAATAATAATTCATCGATAACAGCTGAATTATCTCATGAAATCTTTCTTGGTGAGAAGCATACTCCAAAATCATGGGAAGATTGCTTGCCTAAAGTTACTATTAGTGATACAGAAATTTTGCGTCAAATGTCTTCTACCCAGAAAAATGCCTCTGATGAAGATGAGGAGTCTGTTGACAAAGTGTTTTGGTCGGAGGAGAATTTCATTCCAGGTCCCGAGGTATCTTTCTATACGATGTTTGTTGTTATGTTTTTTTTTCTTCTTTAATTATTCGGATATTTTCTTTTGAAATGCCTAATAACAGTGTGGTTAACTTCACTTTCTGGATGTGAATAGTTCTCACTGAGAAACTGTGTTTAAAATTTACAGTGTAGCATGAAAGATTCCGTAATTTTTCTCGTCTTTCTTGGATTGCTCCCCGATGAATATCTCACGTCTAAACCACACAGAATGGTCACTCTTGTTTTTATTCAGCCTATGCGCTTCTGATGCTTGACTTATGTCCTGCATTAGCAAGCTTTTGTTGGTAGAGCAAGTGAAGGTTTACTGTATGCTTAAATCTCTTGACGTCATAGAGTGAACTTCGAATTGGAGCTTTGAACGGATTGTCGACATTCACCTCAAGTTTTGGGAGACTTGGTTCCTGATCCCTGTGGGCCATGCTAGTTAGTTAAAAGGAAAAGAGTGTTCTATTCGACTAGGTTTCAGCCGGTAGTCATTTTCGTAGTGTCTAATTGGATGGATCTGTAGAAGCATGAGGAGACTGTAATTCTTGTTGGTCTATTCATCCACTACATGAACAATTATATGTTTGTGAGCAATAATTGTGCTTGAAACGTCATCAGTAAATTTTACTGTATAACACTGTGAGGCTTTATCAAAATAATTTTTTCCTCCATGATAGAATTATACTCTGCCACAGTGTCAAAATGCTATCCTTATGTAAACAGTAAGTTTTACTAACTTTCAACCCGTACCACCATTAGAGGCAGCTAGGCATGTGACATGTCCTCGAATGCTGCTTGCACTGTGCAATACGTCATCCTTTTGTTATACTCTACAACTTTAAGACATTATCACTGTAGTTGGAAAGTGTAAGAAAATCGTCGCATGTCTGTAATCATAAATATTCCCGTTTCCTAACTCATCATAGTAGGACCAGAGTAGCTGATGTTAATATTAAATGTATATTACTGAGCCAGCAAGGTAAATCAACCAATGATAAGGTGGATCTTCAGAAAGTGAAACGGTTAAACTGTGTTTCTCTAGGAAAGCTACCATTTTTCTGAACAGGCAATGGCAGTCGAAGTAGAATTTGGGTGAGAAGGAGCTAGGTCTAGTCATATCAAGAATTTGGGCTTAATCATAAAATCTGGCTATCGATTTATGCACTGTGAGGTCATATATATACGTAGTCAATTGTCAGAAGTTAGTGTTCCGTCCCACTGACTGAATGGTTAACAGACTCCCCTCATAATCTAGAGGTCCCATATTTTATCACTAGTAGGGTTGTGGCTGTGTACTGCTGAGGAGTCAAAAACTGCAATGAAGCTGCTCTCCAGTAATACTCCGCAGTTCTCTAACTAATATCAATCCGTGATCCAGGCTTCAACCAATCAAATCCATATAACTCTTGGACACAAAAGTTTATCCATTGGGAAATTGATCAGCTTCACAATTAAGCGGATTTAATTAATTTGCTAACAATGTCTACCAGGCAAATTTTAAGTTTTCAGGGAGTTGATTAGTTTAAAATCCAGTCTAGTCACAAATCAACAGTCATTGATGAAGGCACGTGTAACACTAAACAAGTATATTCCACTATACATTATGAATTCTGACCAGATGTCGGTTTGTGATAAAATCTCGCTTGAGACCAAAGTTTTCACAAAATTAACAACCTGTTGTTTTTCTGTCTTTTAAGTGAATTTTCGAAGGCTTTTATGTGAAGTGTTGATCGGTATGTGATCATTTAAGTCAGATATGAGAATAGTTACTAATAGGGTGGTGACATTCGATGATGACGACTTTCTGTTACCACTCCGCAGGTCTGATATCAAAGATAATTTGATCTCAATCCCGTATCTAAATGGTTACACATCAGCTTTGTAATCTTATTCTTCTGAATTCGATCTCTCGTGAATTTGTGAATTTACACTATAGAAGGTTCTTATACTCATTGGGAGTTAAAGCGCCTTTTGATACTGCCATCAGGTTTTCAATGATTCTGTAATTAGTGTTAAATTAAGACGAAATCTACAAATTTCTACTATCTGAAGTTTATTCTTTTATTGTTTATGCTTTCTCTCTCTACTGTAATTCATATAAGTAGCTCAAATGTGGATTTAAAAATTATCTTTCAAACATTATATGTTTTCCCAAGTGTTTTCCAAGTTTTGTAGAGTTTTGATTAATCTCAAGTTTGATCACGGATTGATAGCAGTTCAAGAATCATCGAACACCAGCGAGTACTGGACAGCTGTTTCATCCTGTTTCGAAACTCTTCAACAGCACCGGCCAATGACCTCGCTGGGGATCAAACACAGGACTGACAAGTTACAGGACGAGTTCGTAGACCATTCTGACAGGATCCAACGGCTGGCCCGTGAATTCTAACGTCTGTCAGTTAACGATTTCCACTGCCATCGCAAACTTGGATGAAGTAGGTGTCCAGTACTCCCTGCTGATTTTTCCAGCGGTTGTCTGACCAACAGTAATCCATGATCACACTTGAAACCAATCAAATCCCTACAAACTAACACTTGAAAACTATATATTTTTTTGTTTGAATTTGAATAACAAGACAGCTTTCTGTTGTACGTGTACCATGACATGTCGAGTCACTTAATTGCTTACAAATTAGGTAGGTAAATACGATAAACATTCACTATAAACTTACAAAGTAAGAGTGAATGAAAATAAACGCCTAACTAAAGGTCATGCCAAAGGAACACACAAGCTTACAACAATTTAGAAGAAAATTTGTCTATAGCTACACATCCATGGGATAAAAATCACAATATTGATTGATTCGATGTTTGTATTCTGAAATCTTATATGAACAAATGGAAAGAAAGACTTATAAGTGAATCTGTGTTCAATGAGGTCACGCCGGATACATGTAACAAGGGTAATTTAGCACAGTTGTCAACATCCCGGATACACAAAAATGAATGGACAAAAAATGAACTATATAAATGATTACAAATCATAAAAGTGTGAATTAAAAAAAACAACAAAACAATTCCAACAGTTGGTGTGATGACGGGTTGTGGTTTCGCTTGAAATATTGCCGAAAACAAAAACTTATCATTGTGTGTAAACTATTGAAATACAATTATAGTTTGTTGGTATTAGATGGTTGGAGGCAATCGGCAGGAAGCCTTGGACCTAGGTTTCGTACTAGTTGGCACTCATCAGCAAGGCGTATCTGCAGCGAAGATAGGACTAGACGCATTACACTAGTTACTGGCTAGTGTGCAATCAAAAACAATTATAGTTTATTACAATATTTCCTTTCTGTAAAGTTTTACTGCATAATAATAGTGGAGCTGTGTCTCATCGACTTCCGACCGGTGGTTCATGGGTTCGAACACCGCTCCACGCATGAGATTTTGGGTAGCTCCGGGCAGTATAATCAAGTCTCACACACAAAAGGTGTTTGGCTCATAGCTGGCTGTATAGAATTACAAGTGGTTGTTGAGTGGCACTAATAATGACAGTTAGCTTATTGTTAAGGCATTTGTTATTATAAACATCTATATTTGGTTGTTGATCTCTCTTTATGTGTAGCGTAAACGTGCACGTCTTACTATGCCTGGTACAAAGGCGAATAATATTGCTGTGAATGAATTACTTCAATCGACAAACACTGAAGTTATATCTATCAATCAATCAGATTTAACTGCTGGCGCTCAGCTTGAATTAATCAAATCAGTTACTGGAGATGATGCTCAGTATAGACCAAAGCCTACAACAACCACTGATGAGCCTGGCAAGTTGGCACATCGGAAACATCAAATCACCTGGTTATGTCACCAGGTAAGTCTTGGTATATTTTGTTGTTGGAGTTTTTAAAATTCATATTCTCAAATTTTTTTTGTTTTGTTTTCGTGATGTAATTGTTCTTCATGGTTGTCACTCTATTCCCCTGTACTTTAAAACTATGCATGCCTTCATTCACTCTTGAAGTCACAAATTTGTGTTGTTGAGCAGATGAGTTGAAATTCGGCAACCAACATTCTTTGAATTATTTTTTTAAAATTTGATTGTCTATTTGCCGTTGGTTAATGATAATAATGGACTGAAATTTTCGGTGTGCGTTGACATAAAGGCTACTAGTACGGATGCTTTGATGATGGATGCGGATTAACATTGTTGTTAATTGGTGGATGGTGACTAGAAGTGGGATCTAGGATGTACAAGACGAAATAACATGTTAGTCCTTATAGATCGCCGAAACGTCCGTACTAAGAGCCAATATGTCAACTAAGATTCTTACTGGTCAATATAATCAGTCAATGTATCATTATTATTCCCTCGGGCACCAAGTGGAACGTAGGACTTCAAGAGCACATCTCCATTTTATCGTGTTCTCTGCAATTCTCTTTGGCTTGCTCTAAGATTGCGTGTAAGCTTTCATCTTCTCACATGATCTCTTCCATATCAGCCTTGGACGCGCAGCTTACCGTTTCCTATTCGAGTTCCACTCAGAGGTCTTCCTGGCATGCAATGTGATCCAACGGACTCCTCAGAGTGTGTCTACTCCATCTCCATTTTCCTCTCACTTTTCGTTGAGCCATAGGTTCTTGGTTGGTTCGTTCCCAGAGTTTCTTGTTGCTAATTCTTCCTGGCCAGCCTTCTGGTCTTCAGTATGAAGCTAGCGAAGGCATCTGTTGATAAAAGTCTGCGACGTGTTGGAAATGCTTTTCGTGGTGCGCTGTGCAGGATTCTGACCCATATAGAAGGACTGACGTTGATGCTGGAAGTGGGAATTTCGGTCTTTATACTGTGGAGTAGAGAAGATTTCGAAACTGATTTCAGAGTGATGAAGACCTGTCTTGTCTTTCCGATTCCCGTTCTCACATCCTCATCCGTCTCGATTGCCTATAATGGAAATGATTCTGCCTAGATGAATGAAGGAAGTGACGTCTATCGAACTTCTGTCCGCAGTGATTGGTGCTAGTTGTTGTTGTTAGTTTGTTGGTTATCTTCATCACCTCCGTCTTCTCTATGTCAGTTGGGGGGCTACAAAGTTAAATTATAACAAATAACACTTGATTCTTGTAGCACTAGAAGTGGTACTCGTGACCTAGTACGTGACGTTTTAGCGTTTGAAATGGAGGGTGCTGGGTTCGAGCCTCAGCGGACAGGTTATCACGCGCCGGGGAATGCAGGCACTTCCAGATGACGAGTCCCATATAGGTCGAAATGTGCGTCTTGGTGGATTCCACTACCAGTCACTATTCATCGAATTCTCTAAATGACTTTGTCTGTCATATATCAGATTAGATTAGTGAATGACTAATTTTACTGCTGAAGCAACCCTCATTCTTACCTTGCATGTCAGTAATCAATATCATTAATAACAAGGTGATAAATTTTTGTATAAATGCATCATACTTAGGGGTTAGTAATCACTTATTCATTTCATTTACTTCTAAAAGCTATTCTCCACACCTTTCTGCTCTTGTTTGTTATAGGCTCAAGAGAATGAACTTGAATTGGAAAAACGTTGGGCTGAAGCTAGACGGAACAAGGCTTCAAATCGAGCTAAATATGGATTTTAAACCTCAGGGTAATGGTGTGTGTGTGTGTGCGTGTGTTCGCACGCGTGTGTGTATGTCTGTGTTTCCTTCTCTTGTGTAAATAGAACTTCCTACTACTATCCTACTAATTTATTATTATTTTTGGTAATCTGAATTTCTTATCTCCTTTCTGTGAAACCTTTTCTTTCCCTTCTTTTGTAGAAAATATTTCATTGTAAAGTATACAAAATATAAATGATGCTTGGGGTTTCAGTGTTTTGTTCAGTATTTTCATATCTTCTCTTAAAAGAAATAGTGGAGTGGACATGATTAAAACTTTTGTGATAAAAATAGTTAACGACATTAGTAGGATAGTGTTGAGCTTGCCTTCGGACAAGGCACAGGGCAGATAACTTTCATAATATGGGTGCGTACTTCTCTACACAGGAGGGGTTAGTCGTTAGCAGAATAGCTTAGCTATAGCTGTGTATCATCTTTGTAATATGAGTTTTTAAGTTTGTTCATGGGTTGATATCAGTTAAAAGGACCATTGAAAACGTATTGGAGTATTGGATATCTGTTTCATCCTGACCTGGGACTCTGTAGTATTTCGCACTCCATCACCCCATTGGTTATCGAACCCAAGAATTTCAGGTGTAGAGGTGAGATTGTTGAACATTCAGCCAATGGGACAAAATCCAATGAGTTATGAATTCTAATTTCTACCAATTGACGATTCATTTCCCAGGGAATTATTGAAGAACGTTATTTAATTAAATGTAGTTCTGTTTTGGATTTCGTTAAGTCATACAGATATCCGACAAATGGGTGAAATATTAGTTGTCATTGGCACATTTTCGGTACATACACCATTTTCATAGATGATGCCTTGACTAACATCCAAAGCTTTCTTCTTCGGGAAGATCGACGCTCGATGAGCAGAACATTTCCGGTTAATTCATAATTTAAGAAGCGACTGGTTGATACCAAAGTCATGAATTCGACAATCACTCTGAAGTTTATATATATATATATCTATATATTACTGAGGAAGCTAAAGACGCTATTGGATATGTACAAGTTGGTGGTTGGTACTTTCTGTCTCTGCAAACCATGTGAGTTGATAGGCTGATAACCGACCACATAACGAGATACACAACTACTGCTTAACACCAAAGTTTAAAAGGTATCTTCATCAACGCAGTTATTTGTTAACTTGTAGTTTTTTTCTGTTCCTGCTTATATTATAAGTGAATTGAATGCGAAGTCGTCTCCAGATGGTAACCCAAGGTATGTGATTGACTAGTCCTAAGTGTGTTGATTTATTTCTACCGATAAGGAATTTGTTTCTTTATAGACGGCATGATACTATCACGCGCTGGAGTATCCTTATTAACTCAGATATCTGCTCCAAATAATATCTGAGGTAAAGTGTTCAGCTTTTCTAAAAATCAGATATTTCAACCCCTTAGTATGAAATTGCAGCTTAACTAGGAATTCTAATCACATTAGGAAGATGTCAACTTTGCCCTCCAGTCTTATATCACTACCAGAAGAGAGTCGGCTTTTGGTCTTAGCTAACTTCATGCATCATTTGTGTAGTCGAGTGTTGAAAATGTTGTATGTGAAATGTGATGCACACTATAACCGACGCTGGAAGTAATTTTCTGAAGTTCTTATTACGTTAGATTTCAAGTTAAAAGCATTGTATTCACGTAGACCAGTTTAACCTTTTCACGTGTTCTTGGCTTAACATACCTATTGACATCATCAGATACCCTCCAGATCGATTACTTATTATTGTTATTATTGTCATCATCATCGTTTAACTCAGGTTCTCGGTACAAGTTTTTATGTGCCAAGCTAGGAACCACACTTATTGTCTCATGATTTATGGTACAATCTAGTTACCTAAGTCAGGACCTGTTTGGTGAAAGTTAAACCAAAGATTCACCTCTACCCTTAGTAGTTTCACTGATAACGAATTTTCCAGTGTGTATCGTTGGAACTCCCATCTAAATATCTTGTCAGTAATTGTATTCGTTAACGAATAGTACACATTATTGAAATTGTGACATCAAACAAAAGTCTTCTTTTCCTTTTATGCCATTCAGGAATGCTTACAACGCTTAGCAGATTAGCTCAGAAAATGTTAGACAACATAAATTCGATACAATTTGCATCACAGGTATGGCGTGTGCTACTGATAAGATTTATCAGTAGTATGCAAAGAAATGTTCACTGGCATAAAAACAGGAAACAGCAGAGAGACAGATTTGATGTCAGAGGAAACAAATAATACAGTGCTGCGGAGATACATGTGAGACGTGAAGGGAACATAATAGGAAGGCCAGAAGTACCACAACACGGAAGATCGGTGCGACTGGTGCGTTGAGGGTAAGGTATACATAATTTGGCTGGATAGAGATATCAAATTGCAAATAAACGTTCCTTTACCAAGTATTCGTCTTCTACCGTTACAGTAGTAATATTGAATGAATCCAGTCGATAGTATGTGTGTGATCTTACACTTTCAGGGATTTCGTTCTCCAGTGTGTTGGTAACAGATAACTTTCACTGACTAAGAATCCATCAAAATTTTAAGCACAATGTAATTCCATCAACGGTCTATTAGATTGTATCTACAGATAATTTTGTACGGCCTATGTAACTGGCTCCACAGGAGCAGTTAAATTGGTATATACACATGGAAGAGGCGAAATTAGGCAGTTTGTCTTTTATTCCCGAACGCAGAAGAGGAGTGGTTTTAAAGATACAGCGTAATTAACTGCTCCTGTGGAGCCAGTTACATAGGCCGTACAATTAGGCGTGTTTCTCGTCGAATTTCCGAACATCACCCTGCCTGGTTAAGCAAAGGTCAAACAAAATCTATTCGCAGCGCTATTCTGGCACATCTGGTGGAGACAGAACACAAGATTAACGTTAATCATGCTTTCAGGGTCATTTACCGCATACCTACGAATCTCAATTTCGCTTTAAGAGTTCGACTACTAAATATTGCTGAGGCTGTTGGGATTCATATTAATAAGCCTAATTTATGCACCCAAAAGAAGTTAGTTCAGTCATTATCATTACCTTGGCCATCCAGGTTTGAATAATCCAGAATTTTTGTGAAATTTCCCTAATTTTAGTTGACATTCTATTCGCTGTTATATCTTTATTATTATTATTATAATTTAAGCATCTCTAATGAACTGTAATGGCATTGATCATACTTTACAAATCGATATTATTTAAAAAAACGCTAATATTGTTATTAGCTACTAATTTAAAATATTCTGTGTATATAAACATGCATATATATAATTGTACAGCCTGGAGGAGGAATTTATCGAAAAGAATATTCTTTGCTCGGTTATTTTGTGTTTTATTTGCGTAAACTTGTGCAGGCAGTCATCTGATATCTGTCCAACTTATGCTTTACTGCTTTCTGTCAGAGTATTGCGAGTGATGAAAGCGACTATGGATGTGATTAGAGGGAGCCAGTATACGAATCCTGATTGTGAGCCATGGAATTATTGATTGATTATCACTGTGGACAGTTTCACAGTAATAAAGGCTTAAGGATTTGTTTCAATCTCATGTTATCGCCTTGATATACTCTCGCTACCGGCTTTCCAATGTGAGGTAAGTACGTTAATCTAAATAAAACTGCATCATATGCAAATAAAATCGGAATATTTCTAATTGAAAATCTTATGCCATTAATCACTTAGACCTGATATTCATGATTCCCATGTAATTTATATAAGCAATCCTATTCAGCCCATGAGAATCAGTGCATACTTTGTATACTGAAGCTGTTAATGATGAAAAGCCAGAAGCTTTGAAATTTTTAATTTATAACTATAAAAACAGAAATGACAGGAACGATTTTTGGTTTAGTTAAATTACATCGAAGTAAATAAAAGACAAATCCAGTGAAGAAAAATTTATTCATCGACGAAATCATCTTCAGAGGCTGTATGTATAGCAGTCTATTATTGAGTAATACGGGGTGACATAATTGATATAATTACTCGGAAGTGGCTTTAGAAGAAAAAAGATAAAAGTTGTAAATTACGTGATACTCAACGGCACAAAGTTGGAAATTTGATGAGGTTAAAATTGCTATTGAGTGAGAATAAAGGTAGTTGAGTGTCAATTTAACACGTGTGAGGAGGGTGTGAAAATGTACAAAAGGAACATATGAGAGTAATAATAGTGAATTAATTATTCAAGCAAAAGCAAACTAAAAGTAAAATTGAAAATTAAGAAAGAAAGAAAAAATCAACTCAAACCCACTCTTTGTATCCAAAAGAAGTACGTCCAACCCCTGTCCCTGCCATGGCCATCATAAACAGGTAAATTTTTTTATTAATGACCGTCCCATCCCCTTTCTTATCTAAACATCCTGGTTATTCATATTATTTTAAGTTTTTCTTAATCCCTGTCTACACCACCATATTTTCATATCCACACTTCCTGTTTATTTTGTCATTTTACTATTTCTACATATTTAATCCTTGATTGCATAAACAATTATTCATCACATCAGTTTTTTGTCCAAACATCCTGTATATTTTGTTATTTCTACATTTCTAACCCCCAATTGCACAATATCAATCTTCTTAGTTATTATGCTACTTTGTTTGAGTTCTACCCGTCTCCCTGTTTATTATGGCATTCTAATTTCTAATTGTAATTTTTATTAATTTGGCCCTTAACCGGAAATTATTCTGGAACTTTCCCATCCATTTGATATAAATACACGAATGTACAGCCTAGATGATGACTTCGTCGAAAAGAAAATTTTCTTCGCTGCAAATGTTTCTTTATTCCCTATGATCAAATGTGTATATTCCGTGATTAGAAACCTGATCCACTCCTTATCCTCAAGGATAAGAAGGATAAGTTCCCGCGATACAATCGACGGGCAATGGGAGCGACTCCAACGAGTCCTCATGAAAAATAGATATCCTTCAAGATTCATCGAGAAAAACATGAAGTTAAGGGAAACGCCTGAAAGAACCCAGACGATATCGAAGAAGCTGCTGTTTATGAACGTCGAATTTAAAAGTGACACCACAACTCATATCCGGAAGAATAACTTATGCAGATCACTGAGAAGAGCCTTTTTTACGGCTACGCTACGCATCAATTTCTACAGCCAACAAATCATCATTGGATATGTGAAGGATAAACTGCCGCTTTGGTCCACTTCAATATGTGTTTATAAATCCACATACTCGTGTGTGGAGCTGGTTATATTGGTCGCACAAAGCGCACACTTTCTAAACGCATCTCTGAACACTATCCGACATGG